TCCAGTTGATGTATATGCTTATGGTATTGTGTTATATGAAACTTATATTGAAAAGAATGCATATGATGGAGATGAAAGATTTAATCAACCATGGATGATTCCACAATTTGTTATTGAAGGTAATAGATTAGAAAAACCTGTTGGTATTCCTGAAAATTATTGGGAATTAACAACTAAATGTTGGTCTCAAAATCCAGAAGATAGACCTTCATTTGTTGATATCTTAAAAACTATTGAGTCTTGGGGTGAAGATATTAAATATGCTTTTAATGTTGAAAACATCAAAAAAGGAATGGGAAATGATACTTTGTCTAATGTTAATGACTCAACACCACCTAATAATCCTGTTTCACAAGTGGCTGAAAATGAACAAAAACCAAAGAGTCAGTCAGTTTCTCATAGCTCAAGCGATGAGAATTAATCAATTAATCTTTCTAAGTTAATTGAAAATTCATTTTTGAAATTTAAGTTTTACACATAAAATGATGAATTACAATTTTCATTATTTTTTTCCTTCTTATTTAAAAAAATTGTAAATTCTTTTTTTGAATATATTAATGGTTGTAAGTTAAACTTTATGTTTTTTTTCAAAGTATTTATTAATTATTTCTAAAATAATTAGTAGTGCCTATATAACTAATGACAATTTTATATTTAATGTTCTGTTATTAGTTTGTATTGTACTTTTACTATTTAAGTGAATTCCTTCTTTTTGATGTTTTAATTGAAACAAATTATTGATTTTATTCACATTCGTTTGATAGAATTATTGTTTTTTGATAATAACTCATTAATTTTTATAAAAATTTTCTTTTTTTTCTTTAAATTGACTTTTTTAAAAGTTATTTTTCATCTACTTAAAGGATAAATTTAACTAAGATTGAAAAATGAATTAAACGTTTATTTTTTCTTCTTTTGTGTATTACTTTGTTTATTTGTTTGTCTTCTTTTTGGAGAATGTCTTGGTTTGGTATTTCTTTTTGACTTATTATTTCTTTTTGACACTGATATTTTTTTTAGTTTGGTACTTCTTTTTGATACTGATATTTTTTTTGGCTTATTATTTCTTTTTGGTGTTGATGATTTTTTTGTTTTGGTATTTTGTAGATTACTTTTTTTTGATTTAGATTTTTTTGATTTAAGTTTCTTATTCTTGTCTAGTCTAAGAACTTTCTTCTTCCCTTTATTAATTGTTTCTTTCCCTTTTTTATACATGTCTTTTCCTTTCTGTACTTTTTCTTTAATTTTATCAATACTGAGTACTCCAGTAGAAGGGTCAACTCCCATAGCATCTCCAAGTTTGTTAGTTACTTTATCTTTAACTTTGTTAACACCTTCTTCTATTTTGTCTTGCATAAAATTTTTAGCCTTATTGCCAAGCCATTCAGACGCACCTTTTCCAATATATTTAGAAGCTTTTCCTATTCCTTTATCAATTAATTTTCCTGCACCCGACATTAACTTTCCTCCAAATTTACCAGCAACCTTTCCTGCTAAATTACCTGCTTCATTTGCAATAAATTTCTTTCCTTCATCTTTTAATTTTTCCCATGCCTTTCCAGCAGCACGTTTCATTCTTTCTTCTGGTGTTCCACCTCCACTTTGATAATTTTTAGAAAATTCTGTAACAGTTCTTGTTGCACCTGCAGCAGCACGTGCTCCAACTTCAACTCCTTTAAGGATACCTGTAGCTGTTTTTAATCCTCCAGCAATAGACACACCAATTGGTCCAAATACTGGTCCAACAGTTGCTGCCACATTAGAAAGTGGACCAACAATCTTATTGCCAACAAATCCGGCAACATCTCCAACTTTGTCAAGTACTTTTGAAATTTTTTCTCCATTTTCTGCCATAAATTTAGTTCCCTTTTCAATTACTTTTGTTGCTGTTTCTTTGATAGCATTAACAGCATCTCCTGCCATCTTCTTAGCTCCATTCCACAAGTCACCAAAAAATCCATCATCTTCTAACATAAAATCATTTACCTCAAATAGGTTCATAAATACATCAAGAGCCTCTTCATCTTTTTCTTCATCAACATAACTTGAAAGATCTACTTGATATTCTATTTCTGAAAATAATTCAAAATCATCAAAAGTATAAAGTTCTGCTGTAACACAAGAAATAATGCAAGATAAATAAATTAATATTACTATCTTACCCATTAACGTATATTTATTCTAGTTCCCTGAACCAAACAATTTATATATTGTAATGAATATTTTATATTTTTTGTGATTATTTTGATGGAATTGACGACTATTCTTTCATTGATTTTGGTACAAACCTTTTTTGGGTTATTGTCTTATGTTATTTAAATGTTTCTTTTTTTGGCTTCTTTTCTCTTCTTCTTTTATCTTCTTGTTTGATATAGTCTGAATTATTCTCTTTCCCATGAGACAAAAAGATTTGATTTTTTCATTTTCTTTGAATCGCACAATAACTTTTCGTTACGTTTATTTAATATTTTCAAGATGAGATCAGTGATGAATCTTCTCCATTCATTTCTTTTGCAATATTTTTAATATCTAAAAAAAGTTTGTTACAAAATGAGACATTCCAAATTTTATTTTTATCTAAATAATCAATTTTATGGTTTTAACATAAACTAAAAAATCTTGTTTTAATTCAACACAACAACAATAAGACTATTGTAGTTCAACATAAATTATACATGAAAGAGCAACTGATGAATCTACAACCCGATAAGACAATAATAGAATTAATGAAATAGTCTGAGTAGTTAGGACTATAAAGAGAATGAAAATGATTGATATATTGAAAACAATATGAAAAGGAATAACGAGATGAAATAACAAAATATAAAGTAGTAGCTTAATACATACTTATAAATAAAAATAAGAAAAGAATGTATAATGATATAAAAATATTATGACGAATATTAATTTTTTCAAAAATAAAAAGAAAATAAAAATTACGAAAATAAATTTAATAAAAAAAAGGATAATTCATTAAATCAATTAATAATTATCCTTTTTTTTATTTTTATA